CTGATTAAAGAAATCACTTGGCTTTGAAACAACAAACATATCGATGTCATCTTTAACACCTTCCACATTTGCATACGTTTTCCCTTTAATATGGTGTTGCAGCGAACGAAAAGATGGCAATCTGATGGTGCCATATCTGGAGAATATGGTGGGTGCAGATGGATTCCAGGTTTTGGAGTCGGAAGTGGTTTTGTTTAGGACAGAACCATTGTTTTTGGCGTTTAATATTCGCATGGCGAATCCATTTTTCATCACCGGTGACAATTCTGTCCAAAAATGTTCACGCGCATTGCGCGCTAGAAGAGATGAAGCAACGTTCATACGTTGGAAACTATGATCATCAGAGAGTTCGCGAGGCACCCAAACACCTTCTTTAAGGAGTTTTCCCATGTTTCTTATATGTTTACATATTGTTTTATGAGAGACATGCAATTTCAGGGCCATTTCACGAGTGTGTTGCCTTGGGTTAGACTCAACAAGCGTCTTCAGAGCATCAATATCAATTCCAACATGTCTGCCCCTGCCATCACAGTTTTTAAGGCTAAAGTCACCTGAACGAAATTTGCTGAACCATCGTTGACACATACGATCGTTCAAAACATTTCCATAAACGTCTTTGATATTCTTTGTGGCTACAGAGGCATTGTATCTCTTCTTGTATTCAAACAATATTACATGCGGAATGTGTAGGTCTCTTCGTGTGCCATCAGTGTAAGGGGTTAGAGAAGAGTAAAATATACATATTATATAGGCTACACTAACGTGACGTTCTTTTAACTATTATAAGTGATGTACGTTTTTTGGGAGTTGGTTAATGAAAGTGTTTCAAAACGCGACATTACTTTCTTGACGACCTAATATTAATATGATAAATTTCTAAGACGTTTAAGGGAAATGGGATTTTTTTAAGGATACTGTGATAAATTCGATTATATATATAGCTTTTAAAAGCTGTACTGGTTTGGAGTTTTACTATTTAAAATATTATGCTGACATATTGCAACAACCTGATCTTCAATTTTTTAACGTTTGTATATGTGTTTTCTGTGACACAGTTATCTAATCAACTTTGTTGGCAAAAATTTAATTTTTAATTCCCGAATAGCTTTATTCCAAAGGGAACTGCCTTATTTAAGCAACTGATTTTTTTTATAAACTATTATTGTTTTCACTTATCTATTTTACCAGAGATCGCTTGTACTTGGTATACAGTTCGTTTAGTTCATTTCATTAGACTTGAGTAGGATTGGTACTTAATTTATCAAATGAAGAAGATTATTCTGTCCGTTCAATGGGCCAACTACCTATAGGCAAAACAAATATGATATAGGAAACATGCATTGAAGAAAGAGACAAGCTAGGCTCGCTCTTGACTCATTCTTATAGGGTATGCGCACCAAACCAAGAATAGAACTAGGATTTATTCTTATTGGAGACTCGCATTGAACAAAGAGACAACCACAGACACTTACCAAACCAGAAATCAAATTAGGATTATAATAATACTCATTATACACTCGCACTAAAAAAACCAGGAGTCAGCTATGATTACAAAAATAGTAGTAATTTTTTTTCGAGCTAAGAATCAAACTGGGACGATGCTTAAAGGATACACGCACCAAACCAAAAATCGAACTACAACGACATTCATAGGATGCACGCACTAAACCAAGATTTGAATTAGGACAACACTTATAGAATACACGCACAAAACCAAAAATCGAACTACGACGACACTTATAGGATATACGTACCAAACCAACAATCGAACTACGACGACACTTATAGGATACACACAATAAACTAAAAATCGAATTAGGACGACACTTATAGAATACACGCATCAAACCAAAAATCGAGTTACGACGACAGTTATAGGATACATGCACCAAACCAAAAACTGAATTAGTACGACACTTATAAATACATGCATTAAACCAAAATTCGAAATACGACGACACTTATAAGAATACATGCACCAAACCAAAAATCGAACAAGGAGCATTTTCATAAAAACAACAACAACAAACTAGGATTTCTCTCATGAAAACTAAGGATCGAAGTATTGATTATTGAATTTATATTAACTTATTTGTTTAGACTAAACGTAAAGGAAATCCTGCATAATTCTTTTCTAATCCTTTCAAATTTTAAAAACACATGACCACAGCATTCAGCAAGACAATTCATCATGCTATTAAACCATCATTTGGGAATGACTGCAGATAAATTATCCTGTATTCCAGATGGACGCTAGGGATTATATTGTGTGTTTTTTACTTTTTCTAGCACAAATAAGAAATATAGGAATACCAACTAGAAAAAAAAAATCAATAAAAGGAGCTTGATATCGGCCCACTCTCATTACTCTGTTTCTGTAAAATCCATTCAGTAAGAAACGCTTGATAACGGGGTCTTATATATATACATTAAGTTCTCGTGGGACATGATAGAGTAATTAAAATAATTCATGTACAACTATGATTATATATGATCATTATACATGCTTACATGCCAGCACTTGTAGGCAGTAAAGCTAATTCAGACGAGTGCTTCAGGAAATATGTTTCATTTCGTCCTTACGGAAAATTTTTATTTGTCTTCTTTTTTTTGGGGGGGGGTATCGAAACCCTCGAAAAGCTCATTATTCATCCATTATTTTTGTTCATTCTGCTGGAAAAACAATGAAAAGAAGTCTCAATATTTAAAAACTAGATATGTATTTTGAAGCAAGTAATATCTATCATGGGCAAGTTGGCATCAAGTTAATCTAGTGAATTGTTGACACACTGCGATTTGTGTGTATTATTTTTACAATTTATTTATGCTGATCTGGACAGAGATTTTCCTCATTCTATGAAAAAGCTTATTCCCTCGGTTTAAAAAAGATCAATTTGTCGTAGAATGGAATTATTTTTACAGAAAATTTATATATTTATTACAACGGATAGTTATATTAATGAAAGACTCAAGAGCATATGGATCTGTAAAAGGATTTTGATTCTATCGTAAGTAGGTTATTTCTTTCGATAAGAGCATTACACTTTAATTTTTAGGTAGAACTACGGAGAAGCAAAAATATATAGACTTTACGGCTGCTTATCTGTTCTTACCTTCTATTTTAAAGTCTTACAAAACGAAGAAAAATGACAAAAAAACAACAAAGAAATGAATACCTGAAGAATACAATCCTACAAGTCTTAAGACTACAAAGTGGTTCACTAATGTCGTAGTTGTCGATATTTGTGCAAGAGATTTTCGAACAAAGACAGCAATAAAATATGTCAATATTTATTAAGAACGTAGTGTGGTTTAGGAATGTATTAGTTGTCTTAATTTTTGCAAGTGATTTTTGAACTAGAAGAGCACTGAAACATTCAGGTATTAAGGAAAGGTGATTAAACGTTTTCACTTTTTCTTTGTCCAAGTCAAGAAAATAAAAATGACGACTTTGGTATTCGTAAGTAAAACTGATGAAGTTATAATACATTACACAAAGGTTCTATCTCTAAGCTGAAATTCTCCATAGTTTATAAATATGTTTAGTTATAAGTATAGCTTTTAAAATTAGCTTTAAATCCTATATTTTGTTAGAAAAACAAAAACTACAAATTATATTATGTCTGGAGTATCACAGTAACAAAAGCTAACAATCAAAGTGTTTTACAAGTGGCGAACCCCAGAGAAGACAGCTGATATTATGTAGTTTTTTAACACTTCATCAAAAAATATTCAAAAGTTATCAGGCGCGTATTGATTACAGAGAAATTCATCTAGTGAACAGCACCCACCGCCAACTTTTGAGATACTCTTGTTTGATCATATACTAGAATGTCTCGTCATTCTTATAACGCATTACAACTTCCAAATGTGGAGATAGTTTTTTTTTTAGTTTTTTTTTCTTAAACGATGTATCTCGGATTCGCAGCTTAGGCACGCCACCCACTGGGCCA